TGTAAAGTGCGAAAGAAGTTGCTAACTTACTAAGTTATTGAAATGTTTAAGAAAATTCGTCATAGGGTTCGTATTTTACTAACCACACTCATAGAATTCAAAAGAAAATGATAATTTGCTTAAAATCAAATTTGGGCCAAAACAACATTAGTCTTATGTTTCATAATTTATCCACATCACCGCCACGTAGAAGAAAGAAAATATTAAAATAAGCCACGTTAGTGGTTTCCATTAGTAAGTTATACGGTATTGACTTTAGGATTCGATTTGACCAGACCAATTTAACAGCTTTTAGGACTTGATTACATTTTCTTATAAGTTTTAGAACTCAAATGCACTTTCATGACAAGTTTTAGGACTTCTAGTGAACATATCCCAAAAATGAAGCATGAAAACAAAAAAGAAGTTAGGCACCAGATCGGTTCTCGATTCCATATTCTAGGAGCCAGCTTTGATAGAGTAAGTTCTAGTTTCTTGGTCTATAATCTACCCACTTTAGAACAAATAACTCCTAATCACAACCTATTCAAGAAGAGGAGATCATGGAGGTTGTTCCGAGTCTAAGTCTAAATGTTGTCTCTGTGGAGACGGGTACAGTGTTAAACCCTGGAAGAAGTCTAGAGCGGTTTTGGTACATGTTTCGTGCAAGTTGGCCTGACACTAAGTGAGAAGGTGTTAGTGGAAGAGCTTGATAGTACCAAGGAGTAAGTTAATAATACATTGCTGGTGGTGGAATGGATGAAGGAGGGCATGTCTTTTTTGCTCGTTATCGGGAAGGAGCATCTATTGTGGATGTATCTATTTCTTTGGAGCTTAAGTAAATATGTCAAAATGGGCATAGACCGATTTCTTAATTCATATTTGATGGGTTGAATCATTGTATAAGTTAACTATATTCAGCAAATGAATTATAAACGGATTTAGAATAGCAAAACCCAAAATATATGGGTATTAAATGGGTTCATAATATACCCAAACCCAACCCGCCTTTGTGATTCTCTCTTCACATTCCATGAGAAAATAATGGACTCCTTGGATTGTTCTAAGTTCAGATAAGGCTTGGTGGGTTTGCAAGATGGGCTCGACTTCACCCTTATTAAAAATATCCAGACGGCTTCTTTTTTTTCCACATTATTTTTTATTTTTATTAATCTTGTAACTTTCGTCTTTTAGTTATTAGAGTATTTCTTTCATTAGTTGCATTTGACATTGTTATTTTTATATAAATTTTTTAATATTAGTTCTTGTCATTGCAATCCATGGTCAGCATAAATCATCTTCTTCAATACTTATGTTCCATTTAATTAAAATTTCAATTCCTCCACGTTATTTGTTGCAATAATTTTATAAACTAAGTACTAAAACTTTCTCTTATTCTTCATTATGAATCAATATGAAAATTGAAATTTATCCAATATTGAAAGCCAATTCTTTAGCATCTTATGGTCGAAGTAGCGATTTCATCCAAATAATATATACACATGAAGAGCTTAAAGTGAGTTAACTAAGTGGATACGGATTTTCTTAGGTTGAATTAAATATGGAAGTATTTTAGTAAATGAATTGGGTTGGGTCGGGTTGGGTATGAGTCATTACATTTTTATTGCATATAAATGGGTCAATTTGGGTCAAATCATTTTTTACCCAATCCAAATCCGACCCGACCCAACCATTTGGCGGCCCTAAGCCTAAGCCATCCAAAGTACCCGACGATGCTAGATCTACACCCTTCGGACATGGACCAGACCACCTACTCCCACCGCTGGAGGCTTTATAATAGGTGTAGGTACTATACCTGTAGTAGGAGATGAGGCCGGATGACCATCACCTTGCGATAAACAGCAGGATAAAGGCTGAGGGATATATTAAGTACGAAATGATGTTTCTTCGCCGCGAGCTTTTTGCCACAAGTGTCACCTTTTATGGTAAAGTGCATGAAAATGATGATAAATTATTTGTCTGTATGTATGCAAATGTTTAATCTACACAAAAACTGATCCAAACATGTTCCAACAATTCAAAGTAACTAGAATCGAGGAGATCCAAATGATAGATATCGGACTCATTTCCTTCTATAACTTCGGATTGAAGTGAAGCAAAAGACATATTGCTCGTTATGCAAGCTGGTGAACACACTTGTCGGATGTGGATCAAGATGATCCAAACCCTAACGAAGAAGAACAGGTGGATCCAACTATTTTCAAAAGTTTAGATATGGAAAACATTTTCCTAAAAATGGTTGTTTGGATTTCTTACAAAAATGAATGAGTAAAAAATATTTTCATCGTCCACGAAAATATTTAGACATAAATTATTATCGATAATGAAAACATGTTTCATTAACTAATTATTTCGAGCGATATAGGCAATTATTTTTAAGAAAATATTTTTCAAATCATTCATATTCCACGAAACAAATGAAGCCTTAGTTGAGATTTTGAGATATTTAACATGTACTATATTGAGTCTTTTTTCAGAGTTTGGGTTGATTAGTCACTACACGAAGACCTCAATAGCCAGTCATTTAAAGGCGGCTAAAAGAATTCTCTGCTGCATCAAACTTACATTGAATTTCGAATTGTATTACACCACTTCCAGTAGTTTCAAATTCGAAGGTTATAGGTACAGTGGTTGGGCCGAAGGTTTAAATTATAGAAAGAAGCACTACCTTCAGTGGCAGTGCTAAGTTACAATTTTAGTGGGTGGAATAAAGCGAGGGCATTTTATACATTATAAAGGTGATTATGTAGTTGTTTAGTTCCCTATAAGACATGGAATAATTGAGTACATAACCAAAACACATAACAGTATGTCAATACAATTTTATTCCATCAGCAATTGTGAAAATGATGATTGACAGCGACGAGTTTTTACATGTTAGTAGACCCATCAAATGGGTTGGTAGGGTCGGGTTTGGCTTGGATCGAAAATGGTCTGATCCTAATTGACTCGTTTTGACCAATTTCTATGCAATACAAATCTAGTGATCAATATCCGATCTAATTCATACCCGATCCATATTGCTAAAACACTTTCATATTTAACCAATCTAGGAAAATTAATACTCAACTAAGGTGGGAGCACAGAGTGAGCAAGCTCGAGATCGAGTGAGAGCGAGAGAGTGAAGAGAGAGTCATAGAAATGGATTAGCTCCAAGTGAGTTAAAAACCCATTTAATACCCATATTATTTTGAGTTTTACAATTCTAAACCCATTTATGACCCATTTATTGGATATAATTAACTCATATAACAACTCAGCCTATCAAATATGAGTTGATAAATAGGTCTATGACCCATTTTAACAGGTTTACATATCAGCAAGTGCATGGGTGTTTCTTTCTTCTTGCTATAAATTATCCTATCTCAAGATAATAAGATTCAAAGTAGAAAATTCTCTTTCATTGAACTATATGAGATGTATTAACGTGACTTGCTTAAACTTTAACAAAAGAAAGTAATCGGGGAGTTTAGACATGCTATGTAAAGTAATACCTTCAGCTTAAATCTTAGTATAATTTCTGTTGCACCCTCAAAAGCGACACTAAATAATTTTGTACCTGTGATTCTCTATGCATTTTAATTTTGAGACTTACAGTTAGTAAGTTGAGCAGTGCGGTCAATTAGTTGCTTTTAAAATTTTTTAATGTACATAAACATACAAACTAAAGGAAAAAAGGGTCAATGGGGTCAATCGACTCCACTGAGTTGGCCGTGGCACTGCCCCTGATTACCTTATCAACGGGTGAAACTGAATATTTAGCTGCCACATCATGTGTTTTTATGCTCTTTGGTTATGGAGTCTATCAAGAGAACTATAATTCCAGGACACATGGCCACAAAGATAAGTATAAACACCAAGTCTGCACTAACTTTGGTCCAGAATCTTGTGTTTCATGAACGAAGAAAGCACATTGACAGAAGGTTTCGTTTCCATCTTGTTTCATTTCCATGGGGGTTGCATTGCCAAGAAAGAAGTACAACTTCGGTACGTAAAACTGAAATGATCAATTTGCATAAATCTTTGTGAAGCCACTCAGGTAAGACATCCTTTAGAAACTTCCACATGATGATGCTTGGGGTCATGGGAAGACAAGTTTAGGGGGGGGAAACGTTGGAGGTTGAACTTGTTCTTTCAGTGTTCTTTTAGTTGATAAGCTACGTCTTGTGTTGATTTCGTCGAATCATTGTTAGACAATGATAATTATTTTGCAATTGATGATACACAAAGTATGTGTAATTAAGTTTTAGAGCGATGAAGCTTATGACTGTGTACCTAAAAGAAATGTAACCTTTGATTGAATTCCTGTGAATGGGGATTATGAATACAATTTGTAGGAGGGCAAGTAAAAATAAAGAGAACGCTCTTCCACTAGAATTAATACGAGGCTTCCTTCCTCCAACTTCCACTAGAAATGTAACCTTTTATTGGCTACTGTATGGAGGCTTCGTTCTTCCATCTTCTCACATAATTAGTCTCTTTGAAATGCTAAGGGTTTCCCCTAAGCCTCTGTACCTCATTTGATTAAAGATATTCACATATTTACACCAAAAAACAAAAATACGAGACTAGAGATTCCAACTTGACTAGGATGTACCTTTCATGAATGTATTCTCTAGCACAACTTGATTAGTGAAAAAAAAAAACTAATTAAACTCCATAACATATATAAGCTGTCTTCTTCGGCCTAAATCCAACATACTCGAGACCATCTTGAAACTTAGCACTGAGGATAAATTCCACTAATTTACAAGGTTTTACACAATGATATTGGAAGACAAAGTTCGCTAAATAACAAGAGCAAGCAGATCTCAAAGTCAAAAAATGTGAAGATCCATTTGTCAAAATTACATTAGTAATAAAGACATAACTATAATCCTAGGCATGGAGTTTATTTATCTACGTGGTTGCATCATATAGAAGAAAACAGAAGAACTATTTTCTGATACACAGAAAGAAAAGGAAATATCTACTAGTTTTGATTCCTTCGTGTCAATCCAATGATACAAGAACGTATAATGCGCATTATTGGAAAAAAGATGATCAAATGCACAGTAGTTTTCGCATAATCTAGGTCCGACAATAAGCCTAGAACCTGGATACACATTATTCATATGATATACAAGCATTGCTGTCTATAGCACCATAGTTTCCATGTCTTATTATGATTGAGAAATAAAACCTCATAAAAGTCTAGGTTTATACCCACTACTACATGTTATAGCCGAAACCATAATCTTGGGATATGCCCCCGCATAGGAGCGCTGAAGTTGAATCCCAAGAATAAGAGGATGCCGATTGCACATTGTACTCATCATCACACCACAAAGCCTGCAATGTGTCTCTCGAATTACTGTTCATGGCCTTGAAACAATCAAATTCATCTACCTGATTCTGCTGCGACATAGATCCATCAGATTTATTGTAGTTGAGAGAATCGTCCAGCTCAGTTTGGATTATGGGATCTGGGAGAAACTGTGCCCTATTTGGTTGATCAATCGAATTAACTCCGATGTCAGGTAACGAGACATAGTGGTCTGAAGACGAAACACAATTAGTCATGGAATTTACCAACTCATTGAAATCAGCATCACTGAAGCTGAGATTGGCAAAATCACTAGGAGCTGAATGAGTGGCAGCTGGTGAGGACTCGTATGTCTCGGCCTTTTGGCCATTTTTGGGTGATGAACTACTAGAGAGGGTAGGTTGCATTAGCAGATGAGGACTTTCATTCAAGATTTGAAGGCTTTGGGTCATCTTTTCATGCAAAAGAGGAGGCACTTTGGGCCAAAGTGCAGGATTGTTGTAGAAAGAGAAAGGGCTTTGAAGGTTCTGAAGCTGCATGTGGAGCTGAAGCCTCTCTAGGGCAGAATTGCTCAAGGACTGTGAACTTGTAGCATCATTGGAACTGCTTGCATCTCTTGAGGAAGATAAACGGTTCAAAGACTGCCTTCGCCTACCCAGAAGTTTTTTCTTCAATTTGGTGTTCCAGTAGTTCTTGATGTCATTATCGGTTCTGCCGGGCAATTGTGCTGCAATTATGGACCACCTGAAAAGTTGAAACAATTATCAGCTGACGGAACAATCATCTTCAAAGGTGAAAGAAAAGAAATAGGGATATTGTTTTTCCTACAAAACCTAGAGGTAAAAGAATCCTGCAATATATATATTGAACTGATGATCAATAGCTGGCGATAGCCTCAAGGATGAGCAAAAGGGACAAAGAGATGAGGGGTAAAACAAACATGTTCCTCAGCGGTTAGAATCCCAAACAACAAGATCAGCAATCGTGCTGAGAAATCAATTAGAAACTTTGTTCCAGAAAACCTATAGCAAAGCATCTCATTTCAACAACTCCAAATTAAAGTGACATCATTGGAGCAGTAAAATAGGACAACCAGTTGAAGACTGAGAGAAAGGGTTAAGGCTCAAAACTCCAAAAAGCACATGCAAGCACGAGAGAGAGAGAGAGAGAGAGAGAGAGACCTGCTTCCAATACTAATGTAAAGGCTGCAGATTAGGTTGTCTTCTTCCTCAGAGAACCCACCATGCTTGATGTTGGGTCTCAAGTAATTCAACCATCTCAATCTGCAACTCTTCCCACATCTGTTAAGGCCTACGTGAAAAAGATCTTGCATTTAACTTCTTGTTTCCATACAACCTTATGCCCTAGCGAATTAAACTGATCAACTTTAACATTTTACCAATTTTCTGAGGAAGAGCAATCCAGTTTCCTCCTGTGCCGTGCTTCTCGATATAATCCTTGAGTGTCGCATCCTCTTCAGCAGACCATGGTCCCCTCTTCACGTTGGCCTTGTCGCAACACGGAGCTCGACCCATATCCACCCGGAGATTTCTTCGTCTCTTCTTGTTTGATCAATTTGTTCTTGGAGACAAGGATGATTTGTTGATGAAGATCAATACAGATTAAAAACTTCTTCTTTGGATTGTTATAAGAAAGTGGAGGAGATATAACATGATATATAAGAAGGATGAGAGGTTGAATGGGATGTTCTTGAGGACAAAAAGTCTTCTACGAACCCTCACCCTCTCACTTTCCCTCACTGTTCAACGCTGTTTCTCTTCTAGGGTTTGTTCTACCCTCTCTCTCTCTCTCTCTCTCTCTCTCTCTCTCTCTCTCTCTCTCTCTCTCTCTACCTTTTTTGGAGTGGTTTTGAACTTTCCCTTCATGTTTATTTAATTCAATTATGCTATGTGATTAAACTGCATGCAACTAGAGAGAAAAAACAGATCACAGATTTCTTCATTGTGGGATTATTTTATTGCCCTACTTTATACGTTGGTCAATCAAGTTTTATGTAATGCCAAATGCACCGGTACTTCATGCTAAGAACCCTCCAATATCCTTCTGATTTGTCGTCATCGTCCTTTGAAATGTTCCGTTACCAAAAGTGCTGTACAGAATTTAAATAAGAAAAATAGCTGAGAATAATAGCACCAGTCTATAAAATTTAACCGTTTAACAAGAAATGGGATAGGCCTATATTTGGTTTATATATCCATTTACACTTTATCGTGTCACTCGGTAATCACTATTATAAACCGAAGGGATAATGACATAAACAATCCCTGAACTTTGGCCTCATGTGTAATGTAGTCTCTAAACTTTTTATTTGTTCAATGTAGTTTCCGAATTTTAGCCTAATGTTCAATGTGGTTCCTGAACTTTTAATATATTCTATGACCAAATATATATATATATTCAATGTAGTCCCTGAACTATATGAAAATGTTTAATATTATCCCCGAACTTGAATTAATGAAAGGACTACAATGAACATTTTCGCATAGTTCAGGGACTAAATTGAATATGTCCCAAAGTTCAAGGAGGATATTGAACAAATTAAAAGTTCAGGGACCGCAAAGTTTAGGGACCACATTGAACAAATTAAAAGTTCAAGGACCACATTGCACATTGGACCAAAGTTCAGGGACTGTTCGTGTCATTTTCCCTAAACCGAACTAATACGACCCAGTATTAATCTCAATAATTTATTGATTTTCAGTCAAAAATTTCAACAAACGAATGCCGTGATTTCTGTGTCATTAGCGTCACCTTTTGGACACGAACGTTGGCCTGTCATTCTTACATTCAAACATGAAACCCTAGGTTTTGCATTCGGAGCACGTTAACTGTTCTAAACCTTGCCAAGTCACAAGAACCTGATTACGTAAGGTCTGGTGGAAAAATTTAGCTTCAGAACGCGTTTAGTTGGATTTTTCTTGTTATTGTATCCTGTGATCAGATTTTTGCTGATTGGCGCTTTGGAAAGTAGGAAGATATCTTGGTTTACATTGGAAAAAGATCTTGTATATGTTCTTAGTAAGTGCGATGAAACTTCCTGAGGCATTCATAAGCTGAATAAGCCGCCATGAACATCTTCAGCTATCTCGTTTTTCTTTAATCGCAATCATCTACTTTGGTCTACATTTTGATTTTATACTTTGTTACGATTATGTCGTATTCTGCACACGACACAAATTATAATATAGAAAACACAGACTTCTGATTTAACTAATGTCGCGGTACTAATGCATGCAAATTGTACCGTCCATGTATTATGGTTGATAACGGAACTTGGATTCGACATCGAGCTAGAAATCATAGCCAAAGTACGGTCAATGAAAAATCTCCTCTCATATCAATAATATCATGAGAATAAATTAAAGGTTTCTTCGAATTTTCTAAGGTCTCTTGACACATGGTTCTTTTGCTATGGGGCATGTGTGCGATTCATCCGATTAAAAGCCTCCACAAGAAATCAAACCAAAATCAAAGCATAGAGAAAACGAATTAACACGATTAAAATCTATTTGCAAAATCACAGAAGCAAAGAAAAAGGGGAACTCACAAAAGAAATAAAGAAATCAAATAAAAAATTTTGGTACTATGTTGGCCAATAATTTTATATTTTGAAAAGTATAAACAAATTTCTAATTGACTTATTAACTAATTAATTAAGAAAGTATCACAAATGCATTTAAAAAATCACGAAAACAATCAAAATGAGAAACTCGCCAAAGAAAGAGAAAAATCGAAATAGAATATCGGGTACCCTGTTGGCTAATAAATTTATAATCTTCAAACAATCTATGAGAAAATGTCAAATAAAGCTATTCGTTATAACAAGGTTTTTCTTTTCCCATTTCAGGAGTAGGTGGTGAGTATTACCTGCATTGACACAAGTTAGCTCAGTTCATATGCCCTGTTAGTTGATATGGATCTCAAGTGGAGCTCGTCTCATATAATAATATAGGCTCACATGCATTGGATTCATTATAAGATTTTTCCTATTTCAATGGGGGCATCCATGAGTGCGCATGATAACCATTCTATTTCATAAATAGATTTCTGCCTATAAATATATTTCTCTATTTTTATTTCCTAGACGAATTTCTGAACAGAGATATGCGTTTGATAACGATACAAAATTTCTCTTTTCAAAACAGAAATTTGTTTGACAACGACACAAAAATTTCTCCCTCTTATGCTCTTTTCCATATATCGACGGGTGGCAGTGGTCGGTGGGGGGTGGAGGTGGCTGGCGGCATTCGGCGGTCAACTGGAGAGGGGTGGCGGTGGTCAGTGGGCAGCCTGCAGGGGGTGGCGGTGGCCGCGTATGGCAGACAGCAAGAGGCAAGGGCGAGCAATGAGAAGAGTTCTTATTTCACTCTTTGTTCCAGAAATAGAAAAGTACAAAGCTTTTACTTCTTATTTCTTTTCCAAACTTATTTCTGAACTAAAAATTTATTTAAAAAATAGAAAAATGAAATTACGTTACCAAACGGATTTCTATTCCAATCTTAGTCCCGGAAACAGAAAAATAGAAAAACAGAGAAACATAATGGTTATCATGAACGCCCCGGAAATATTGTTTCGCCAAGCTTATATTCTGCGTTAAGTTTACTAGCCAACGTGCAATATTGTCAATCAAGCGTGTGATTGGACATGACTAAATGAAGAAGGAATTGTCTGATGACATGGTGGAAATTCAAGCTGCTGTTTTTGAGATTATAGCTCCCAAGTTATTAGAATATGAAATTGTTTGGACTGAAGATCGTAAAGGTAAGTTTAGTAAGAGTAGAGCTAGCTTGTAGCGTACGAGGAAGAGCAGCAAGGGCAACTTGGAGGTACTAAGTTCATCCATGCCAAACCATTCTCTCTTTACCTCCGGCTTGGCTAATGAAAATAGATAGGGTCGTTTCCAGTGAAAGGAAATTGTACTTTCCAATGCGGACGCGATTAGAGTTACATGTGATTTTCTTTAAATACCTAATCCATCAATCAAAGGTGGACTAAATGGAGTTTTCTCCGATTGAAGATTGCGAAAAGCACGGTGCAAACGAATTGGCAAGCAGTAATAGAATGTCGGAATGGCTGTTGAGAATTAATTCTCCATTGCGACATTCAGCGGAGACCCAAGAGTATCGGTTTCTTAATTGCCGTACAGGCTTATTAAGATCCTGTTTTAAGTAAGATCACTATGTGACCTGTAAGATCGGATCATAAAATCTCCAACTATTGAAAAGTGCTAAAAAATATCACCCCACTTATTGTAAGTCATAAGAACAAATTAAACAAGTCCTTAATGGTACTACAAATCGGTCTAGCGTGGAAAAACTTCACTACCACTAGTTTAAATTACGTCATAGTTCCATAATGTCGTTTTCATATCAAACATTAAAAAAGATAACACGGCAATAAATAAAGAAAATTCGCTAGTGTGACATTAAAAGCACACAAAAAAATTACTAATAAGAAAATGTAGAATAAATTCTCAGATGTCATCTCGACATCTTGATTGAGATTGTAACCAGTCCCATCGACCTTACCCATAAAATTCATCATCAAAACCAAAAATCATCATTAGAAGTATAAAGAAATTTGTCGCTTAAGTCCTATTTGGAGTTTTGGGTTAAATATTCTTGGCTGGGCTTTACTAATTTATGACCAAAATTACTTTATTTTTGGGCTAATTTTGTGAACTAATGTTCAGGAATATAATCGTACGATCTTGACAAGCAATCCTACCACGATTTACCTCTAATCCGATGTTTGTACAATTGGCATCGTTTACAAATCGTCCATCGTACAATAAAAATCATGATTCGCACAACCATATACTAAAAGCTGGTCCTAAGTGCTTTCTATCAGCACTAATACATGTAATCGTTTCACCTAAACTTTTTGTACAATTGTTTCTTAATCTTGTTAACAAAAATATTTCAAATACGTAAGAAATTTTTGAAATGGTTTGAGATATTAGTTGTTTAATTTACATGAGGAATGTTGCTAATAACTTACTTTTCATGACAAAAATCACCACCTTCTTAGTTTGCGTCAAAAGTTTGGAAGTACATAGACGACTTGATAAACAACGAATTAGCATAGGGCTAGCAAGCAAAATTTTGGCACAAATACAATTAATCTACCACGTCAAGAAAATTAACAATACATGCACAATAGGTAAAGGTTAAATTAAGTGTGAATTTATATAATGACAGTGATTTTCGGCCAAAATTGACTTGAAGGACTACTTTGGAATTTCTTGCAAAGGTTTCCCACTAAATTGGTAAAATTGAAACGTTTATCACTGAATTGACATTCGTACAATAAATTGAGGACCAATCGGTAAAAAGGGTGAGTGCTACTCTCCCTCATGTGCGGTTACCATTTCGTCAATCTATCAATTTCAATGTATTAAGACAAACTTTGTGCGTGTAGCATTTTTTTTGTTGTTGCTACAATTAGATTCTGAATAATGATTTCACGTCTCAAGAAGTTGTATCTGATTATTGAATGGAAAATGAATGATATG